GTCCTAATGCTCCAACAGATCCAGAATTCCTCAGGAATTCAGGTTCTCTCTCTCACTCTTTTTTTTTCTTTTTTTTTTTTTTTGGCTGAGATTTGCAGCAACAGGTGAGAAGGAAATTTTGAAAGTCAAAACCAACAGACTGATCACATGGCGCTATAGGAAACAAATGTGTTTGAACCCAATCTCAGCGAAACATACTCAGGACAATAACAACATACTGCACTAATCACATTTTCAGACCTGTAAGAGAATACAAATTGTCAATAAATCTGAATTCTCCATTTTTGTTGGTTCCCCCCCACCCCCATGGGGAAAAAAAAAAAAAAAAAAAACTATTTTCCAGCTGAAAAATACCACAGTATACAATACAGTTTTCCACGCAATCTCTTCTACCTTTTTTGTGATTTTCCTCTCCTTCACACAGAACCTGCATGTTGCAATTTCAGGAGCTGTCTGTTACTTTCATCTCTTAACTCTACTTCACCCAGACTCCATCCTCTGCCTTTATTTGGACCTGTCTTACTTCACAATGAACATTTCCATTTTCTTTCAAATACAACAAGAGAAGAAGTCCCTGCCTCCCTTCCACAAGCTGCCCCAGTTGCTGCTAAGTTTGTCTTGGAAGTGATTCTAGAAGTGGAAAACTTATAGGCACTTCCTCATTTTCATCTCCAGATATTAAAGGGTTGACATTCAGGGCTTTAATATATGAGTAACATTAAAGAGTTTGGGTTACTTTCTCTTGCACTCACCATGATTGATTTTTATTACTTCAGCACACTGTAGCTGGCAGTCACTACAGAAGTGCCTCTTCTGCTGACATCTCTACTTAATTTAGGTGTACTACTGAGCAAGAGATCCTCAGTACTGCCACATCTTAGGCAATGACTATACAGAACAGTAACTCTAGTTTTAAAGTAGCTATTCTGAGACCAGTAACAAATGTGCACGGTGCTGAGCTACTATTAACTTGTACTGCCATTTAAATTAAGCAGGTTCACTGAGCATGTATCTGAACAGCCAGTCTGTAAGACTTTCTTGTTAACATCCTTACTCACTTCTCCCTTTGAGATCAAAATGCCACTGCTTCCACATATCCGATTATTGCCCTCCTCTATCTTAAAGTCACAGAATGATTTGGGTTGGAAGGGACCTTAGAGACCACCCTGGTTCCAAGCTCCCACCCAACCTGGTCTCCAACACCTCCAGGAAGGAACATCCACAGATTCTCCGGACAGCCTGTGCCAGTGCCTTACCACACTCATGGTAAGGAATTTCCTCCTTGCATCTAATCTAAATCGTAGTATCACAGAACCACTCAGGTTGGAAAAGACCTTAAAGATCACTGAGTCCAACCACAACCTAACCATACTACCCTAACTCTAACAACCCTCCACTAAATCATGTCCCTGAGCAGGACATGATTGACACAACAAATCTACCCTCCTTTAGTATAAAACTCTCATGTCTTACTCCCCTGCTATGCACCCTGATAAAGAGGCCCTCTCCAACACTCCTGCAGACCCCCTTTTAAGTATGGAAGGCAACAACAACGTCTCTTCTCCAGGCTAAATAACTCCAGCTTTCCTAGTCTTTCTTTGTAGGAGAGGTGCTGCAGCCCCCAGTCAGCTACACTCAGCTTTGTCACATGGATAACTGCATGATTTGTATTTCTCTTTGCCTTCAAGCAGACCATATTTTAGAATGGAATGTGTCTTAGATGCTGCCTTGCATAGTTGGGTGCAGTTTGAAGAACAGCAAGTCACTGTTTTCCAAACAGCCCCAAGCCAGCCAGGCTAGCAACCATATGGTCAATAACCAAGTTTCCATGGCTTGGGACCTGCATGAACTGTGATGTAGCACAACATTTGCTCAGCAGCATCTTTGAGACAACGCTAAACAAGGTGGACCATGCTGCTTCTGCATAAATGCTTCAAAGCAAAACTCAAAGGAACCTACCTCTACACTGCTCCAACTCCTGTCCATAAAAAGGGTAAGGACCCAGCAAAGTGCCCCACGTGCATTTGACCAAATAGCAAGCTCAAACATCGCTCTGATCATCTGGAAGACCCTTCTGAAGAAGTGTGAATCTCAGGATGAAGATCAAGCAGCATGCATGACAAACAAGATCCCACAAAAAACAACAGACATGACATGGATGTGGGAGTTTCTGTCAGACCTGCTGAAGATCTCTAAGATTAAAGAAGAGCTGCTGTCTGCACAAGTACAAATAACTGCTGTGCAGTTTTTCTAAATGCTCTGTCAGGTCCCAACCCACAGCTGCAGGACACACCATGCTACAGTGACTGGAGCTGAGGCTTCATGCCACTTTGCAACTACACGGTGCTCTGGATTACTTAATTGCTATTGCTGCATCTCCTCCTGCTTTCCTCATTTTGCAGGACAAAACAAACCACAAATGCAGATATAACCAAACAAAACCAATTAACTATGTAAGAACGCATTACAAGTGAAGCAGAAAGTTGAAGCCCTGCATTTACACTTGCCCTGTCCACACGTTCTGCTTCAAGACCAAGTACTGACAACAAAAGAAGCCTCTACTACGATTCTGGAGTTTGCAGCAGTACTTTAGCTAAGGGCAGCCAAGGTTTCTTCAAATTTTTCCTGAGACATTAAGATTTCCAGGGAATCTGAACAGCAAAGTGCTCCTGTCTACAAGCTCACCATACCCAGTTATCAAGCATGGCAACACCGCTGGCACCAGCTCAGCTCTTAACTCGACCACAGGTTTTTGCTGGCCTGTAGGGATACAGATCAACACCCAGGACTCAAGTGAAAATCTGATGAAGGGACTCAGCTTGTGTTAAGCTGAGCAACAGGAATAGTCCAAACTAATGCAGAAAGAAAACATCTCCAGATTCTTCCCCAGCAGGACTTATGGCCACTTCAGACTCAGTTCCAAGATTCAGCATCTCATTGTTTGTCAGGATCCCAGTACAGGATTAACCATTCATCCCAACACCTCTCACAAACCTCCCACTGGCATAAAAGAAATCTGCAGGAGACCCTGTGTACCAGCAAACATTGGCCCAGCAGTAGGCAAACACAATGACTCCGGCAACTAACAAAATGCCTCCACTTCTCAATCCCATTTCAATTCCATAGCTACACATCTGTTTAATAAACATTTTGTACTCTGTTGCAAAATTTAATGCATCTGTACAGAAGATAAGCTGCGATTGTCATGAGGCAGTGCCAGAGTGAAGCAAGGAAAGGCTCAAAGCTGAAGATCTACACTGCCTGTGAACATAGAAAATTACAGGTTGTTTCTAACAGGACACGTAGAATTTCAGAATATGGCAACAAGCAAACTGTTGTATCATCCTTCAAAACCAGTCCAACCTGGTTCTCAGTGACAGAAGGAGATATCCTTCTCTTCCTCTTGATAAAGAATTGATCCTAATGAGAGACAAGCAGAGAATGAGGATGTACAAAGCACATCAGGAGTGCAGCTTCAAAGGCTCTCAAAAGAAAGTCATATTTTATATGATTCCCTATATCCACATTGTTTTCTCCATATCCAGTGGGACTTAAAAATAGTGCTGTCATCCACACAATCTTGAAAAATGAACAACATACTAGCATGAAGAAATGGTTTCCAGCAACCTCTCACACAAGTGCACAACACCATTCTATCAGTTCACCAAGCAAAGGACAAAGTAAGCCCACTCTCCTATAAACGTCTTCCTCAGATAATCCTCCCACTTTCCCAAGGTACCACTTGTTACAGCTTTGCTTTGCAGCGACAAACCCTGTCACCGCATAAGAAAGATGGCTCTTCACTTTCATCAGCAAAGCTCAGGCAAACACTTCAGCCACATCATCTGTCAATGAAGATGGTTGACTGTAAAGTTAATACCCAGCACCAGACAACTGGATACAGCTGCACCATTGCTTCCACCAGCAGGAATAGACCAGACTGCCACTGTGTTTAACCAAAGGGGGAAGTGACACATTCCTGCAGTGCCAAGAACTAGGTGGTAGCTGTCTTGTGGCAACACCATGCTTGGTGTTCATACACCTGAACCCGTGTGATGGCCAAAAAGAAAAACAGAAGCTCAGCTCCCACAGTGGTGAAGCAGAGCAGGTGCTTCCCAGCAATACACAGAGGAGATGTGAGAGTCGGCGCCAACACATGGAGAACAAGAGGCAGCACCATGCTCTTGCTAAACCACATAGCCCACAGGAACCTGAATGTACCAAGCTGCCCGCCACCAGCCACCCCCTTTGTGCAATGCTCCATCAGCAGTGATTGCTGGGTCCAGCCTTTAGAACTGCACTAAGAATGGAGGCTCCAACACCCTGACCTCACTAGCCAACAACACTAAGATATGTGCTATGTGCAGGCACCTGGTCCAGCAAGGGAGCTGTTGCACAATGCAGTCCCAGGTTCAACTCAGAGGAAAACTGAACAGTGACATCAGTGCTTAATGCAGATGGCTTGGAGAACATGAAGGATATAGCACTTTACCTACCTCATGGGCCTTCTGTCTTTGCTAGAAGGACAGTCTACAGAGCAACATGAGATCCTAATACAAGAACCTAAGGGCAACCTGAAGTACAAAGTATCTGACATCCACATTGTGGATGCGCCATCCCTGGAGGCACTCAAGGCCAGGCTGGATGTGGCTCTGGACAACCTGGTCTGGTGGTTGGCAACTGTGCACATAGCAGGGGGTTGAAACTAGATGATCACTGTGGTCCTTCTCAACCCAGGCCATTTTATGTTTCTATGACATACCTACATCAAGACTAAGATAAGAAATTACCATTTCACATAATTCTGACAGGGCAGACTGCCTCTGTATTAGGCAAAAAAGCACTGCTAGTTTCCAAAACTGACCTCAAAATAACGTACTTCTGCAGAGCTGAGCTGATGAAGCACCACGGGACCAACCAGCGCACACAACCACGCCGTACCATACCCTTCCCGCGATGACCTCGGGCTAAGAACTCCACCTGCATTACACCGAAACAAAATGCGACGTGAGGACGGCTCAGGGAAGAGAAGAATGAAGTCCAGATCTCCACCTCCCCGACACGAACGGCTCAGCACGGCCCGCGCCCCAGCTCCTCCCGTTCCCCGCAGTGCCGGCTCCCAGCTCCGTACCTCCCTCCCCGCGGGGCCCGGCTCGGCACGAGGCAGGCTCCGACCTCCCCGGCGGCATTTCCCGACGCTCCGCTCCCGCCCCGAGGTCTCCGGGCGGCGGCGGCGGCGGCGGCGGCGGCGGCGGCAGCAGCGTCGGTGGCCCGGCGCATCGCCGCCCCCCTGCCTCGCCCCCACCCCGCCCCCGCGGCCCCACGCCCGGCGGCCCCGAGGCGGCCCCGGCGGAGGGGAAGGCCCCGGCCCGCCGCCCGGGAGGAGAGGAGCCAGCTCGGCGTCGGGGAGGGCCGCCCCTCCGACCGCACTCACCGCCGAAGCACCTCCAGCGGCCGGGCACAGCCCAGGGAAGGAGGCGGCGGGCCGGGCCGGGCCGGCGGCGCTGGCGGGCTCAGGCCGTGCGAGGGGCGGGGAGGAGGAAGAGCAGGAGGAGGAGGGGGCGGGGGGACGTGGGGGGGCGCCGGGAGGAGGCGCGCGGCCGAATGGCGGCCACCTCACCGCCCCCCCGGGCCCGCCCGCCACCCAACCGGAAGCGCCGGCTCCGCTCGTGGCCCCGCCCCTCGCGGCCTCCCGCCTTCCCTCGCCGTGACGGGCGGGCGGTGCGCGGCGCCGGTCACGTGGTGCCGCCGTGAGGCGGAGCGGCGCCGCTCGGCCCGTGGAGAGGCCGCTGAGGAGGCGGGAGGCGGCTGAGGCGCCAGTGGGGCGGTCACCTGCGGGACGGCGTGCGGGGTTTCTCCGGTCCGCATCTTGCCGTGTTATATTAAATTACAGATCTAAATTGTATTAAGGGGCGAATCTCTCGTTTACAGTGACGCCTGCAAAGATTGTGTGTAGTTCGGTAAAGTCGCGTTCCCTTTGTCAATTCGGTACCCTTCTTCAAGCCAGCAGGCAGATGTCCCATGTCAGCTGTCGTGCTGGGACACCCGCTCAGCCCGACTGTGTTCTGCTGTCCTCTACAACGCTCAGAAAGGCACTTCTGTGTGAAACCTACTCTTGTCTTGCTAAAACAGCGCTAGGTGAAGCTTTGTTTGGCCAGTGAAATACAGCTTTCTGTCAGGAAACACTTCGGTACAGAAAGGGTTGTGAAGCACTGGAATTGGCTCCTCAGGGAGGTGGTTGAGTCACCATCCCTGGATGTGTTTAAAAGCCGTTTGGATGTGGTGCTCAGGGACACGATTTAGCGGAGGGCTGTTACAGTTAGGGTAGGATGGTTAGCTTGTGGTTGGACTCCATGATCTTTAAGGTCTTTTCCAACCTCAGTGATTCTATGATTCACAGTATTTGCGTAGCTGTGTTTAGTTCTGCCCCTTCCAAAACCACTTTGTTATTTATTTTGCCAGCATTTTAATATAAATATTTAATAGAATCATAGAATAGCAGCTGAGGTAAGAGGTCCTGTCCAGAAAGTAAACCCTGTAGTACCTTTTTTTCCTTTTAAAATCTCCTGACCGTTGGATCTTAGTCTAGTGCTTCTGAATAAATTGTTGGTCTTTTGCCAAAGGTTTTGGGCTACTGTATCTTGGATGCAAATTTCAGTAGCAATGAAGTAACAAGGTCTTTTGGTAATGTTTATTTATAGCAGTAAGAATGAGAGTCACTGTGAAGAGCTGCCACATGCCATCACCACACTGAATGAAAGAATCTCAGATGTCCAGACATAAGGAGGAATAAAAGTTACAGTCCAAACTTTAAGGTTGTATTACTACCAGCTTTGATGTATTGATTTTATTCAGGGAAAAATGACTTGGGATGTTAGTAGGGAAATCTGTGACATTGTCACCTGAGTACTATCAGCAAACAAGTTGGGTGTAAGGATATTTTAAGAGTAAATGAGAATAAATCTATGGGTGAGCAACATATCATCTTTTTCTGTTCAAAGTCTTAAATCCTTTGATAGGTCATCCACAAAAGGCAGTACCCATCAGTATCTCTTCAGCCATGTTGCAGGCTGATTTCTGCTTTAAAGATCCTCAGCATAGTGCCAGTTGAACTTGAACCACCAAAACCAGGTGCTGGCTGTCCGCTGGTCCTCGTGTTCAGACAGAGGGCTGTGTGAAGCCCTTTCCTGTCACAGGGACTGAGTGATGGCTTAGTGCATGCTTGGTGGAGCCGAGCTCTGCACAGAACTAGCTTTATCCTGTCAATCTCGTAGTTTCATACTGATCTCTTAAAAACATATCTTAAAAATGTTTTCTGATGGTAAAATTCAGGAGAAAAAAAAAGAAGCATTTGACACATGGAGCTTCTTACCATACCTTCAGTCAAGAAAATACTGTAAAAATACTTTCAGCCATCCCCATGAATATTTGGCTCAAAGTTTCCATAATTAACAAACATCATTTGAACAATTATATCTTTTCACACTTGCATTACAGAAAGCTTTCTCCCAGAAAACTTGGAGAAAGGACAGCCTGCCAGGACTGAGATGAAGCACTCTTGGCAGACAGGTTTGGTGTTGCTGTGTACAGGTTAGGAGGAATGAGCGTGGTGGTGTCCTCACCACAGGAGACCCATCTTGAGCTCTGCTGTCAGTCCCCTCACCCAGCAAAGGCTTCCACTGCATCTCCATTGCTGGTGCAGAGGTGAGGAGGCCCAGATGCAGGCATGCTCTGAAGCATGCACTAATGCCAGTAAGTAGAAAAAGTTTATTGCACTGTTACACTTCTGGGAATGAAAATCTCTGTTGTTGTTAGAGCTGCTCAGCATGCTGGGAATCTGTCAGACAGCTCTGACTTTATAGTAATGGCAAAAGATATTTTGAAAAGTGACATAATTTAAATGCTGTAATTTATACTGAATGCTCCTTCCTGCCTGCTGAGCACGATTCTGATGGGAAATGTTTCTCCAGAGAAAGCACAAATTTACATTTCTTTTTCAAGCGTGAAGTTCTGTGATACTTCCCTTCTTCTGGTTTTTGAAAGTCCTCTGTGGTTTTTGTTTGAACAACAGCACATCATAGAACAGTGCACATACGAAAAAAATCATAATAGCACAAAGTTAAACACAAAGTTAATTAAGAAATTAAATAACTGAGAGCTGGGTGACAGCAGTAATTGGCTTTCTTTTCTAAGTCTTTTGGCACAAGGATATTTTTAAAAGCAACTCGGACGCAAGAGTTTAATTCCTCTCCTTTAAAGGAGCTTCATCATTGATTTTGTCTGTTTTTTGGCTATTTAGTTTGGTTTGGGTTTTTTTTTGAGAAGAGAATGTGTCCACTCCATGTTTTATATGTGTTTGATACAACAGTTATCATCGTTTGCCACCTGAGGATCTCTGGCTTACATTGTGGGGAAAACCGCAAGACCTCCAAAACAAAAGCTTCTGCTCTCACTTTCAGATAGAATCTACATACAAACCTCAGCAGTGCTAAAACATTAACCAAAAAACATTAACCAAAACGTGCAGTGTTTTCAGAAGGGCTGGTAGTTGTCTCCCTGATGTGCTGTAACATCAGGTGGCATTTAGCAGTGATCCGTCACACCTCACAGCCCACACGGAGGCAGTATGTTTTGTCAGCACTCGTGGCTAAGTGTCCGTGCTCTCTCTCTGTAGGTACAACGGGAACAGGCTGGCACCACAGATGGGGCACCTGCATGCTTTTTAGGTTCATTTCCTTTTGAATACAAGACGTGGATGTCGGAGTGGTCACTTGTCATCAGCTCCCAGCTCTTTATGCAAAGGCACATGACAGCAAGCTAAGGCTTGTTGCTCTTCTATTCTCTGGGGAAAATCTTCCAGCCCAAACCGTGCACACAGCGTGAAGAAGTAAGCCACGTATCTCCCAAGACTTTCTGGAAATGGCTCATAGCCATTTGTTTTTTATTAAAAATAAACAGCAGAATGTGTTTAAAAATGGAATCTGAAATTGGCAGAATGATGTTTGGGAATTGAATTGCCTGCTCTTGACAACTGCTACAGGCGTGAGTGCAGATTTTTTTACTGAATATTTATATCCCACATCCATTTCCTTTGACACAATAGATCATGACAGAATGGAGCCTAACTCCATCTTGACAGACAAGGTGATTTCCATATTGCAAAATTCTGATGACCTTGGAATCCAGTAAGAAATAGGACAACAGAAATTGAGGGAGGCTATCAAGGTGGTGAAGATTTGTATTAAAGAAGAGAGCGCTATACTGTAAAAACAAAGAAGCAGATGGCACTGAAATCAGCTGTGATGCAACTAGATACAATTCCCGTTTCTCAGGGAAGCCGGATCTACTTTCAGCAAAGCTGAATTTGCAAAACAAAGTTGCTATTGTGGAAATAAAGCTCTCACGCCACAGTGACTCTGTACAAAGACAGGCTGCAAGCCTGCATTTATTTTGTGTCATCAGGAGGCGCATAGGAAAAAGAGCAAGCACTGAGCAGGTGGCAGCTCCTCCTGCCTGGCTTTCCCTGTGAATATCAATGTTCTGGATACCCTGTCTGTGCAGATGTGTAAACCCAAGGCCAGCTTCCCTGCAGTCAGACGGGATGCAGGTGTCCTAGTTAGTGAGGGGGTGACAGCTTTTCCCGAAATATGTGAATGTTGAAGCCCTGACAGGTTTTACTGAGCCAAGCTTTCAAGTCCAATCTTTGGTAACTAAAATGTGGCAAGTCCTCAAGTGGAAGTTTACTGCTACAGAAGCTATTTAGTTCCTCACCTATAATGCCACCAAGAGATACTTATAGCCCAAGCACGCATGGGATAGTGAGAAAGTAGCCTGGTAGCCACCTTTGGCCAAAAATACCAAGCACATGAGCATGTGCACAAGCTCTTTTTCTCTTGCTCTTACAGGTTCCTCTCCCAAACAAGACCCCTCCTTGAGCCAGCGCAGCTCTGCCCACGTCCCCTGGGCACCTCAATGGGTTGCAAATGATTGCTTTTACACAGACCCCAATCCATTGAACCCTGTCTGCCTCTACTGCACAACTGTCCTGGTTAGGTCTCCTTCTCAGACCAAGTCAGGCTCTTTCACACAGCCAGGAAGCTGAGCTCAAATCACTTCTCAGCAGACAGAATAAACCTGGTGAACAAGATAAACTTTAGATGAAGATAAAACCAAATGGTTTTCCAACAGTTGTTTCACTTAGGCTTTGAAGTAGTTTTAGTTGGCCTCTCACTTACATAGTTTGATATTAAAATTCTTCTCAACGCTATTTTTATCTGTTTCTGAGGAATACTGAGTAGCATAACATTCTACTTATGTTTTTTTTTTAGTGTACACAAAAAAAAAAAACAAACTACAAAAGATCAGTTCTTAAAATCATAGTGAAAATCTTGTTGCTTTTATTCACGTAATGCTTAATATCTTGGAAAATACAATCAATAATTTTTCAGTTCTAGAACAACTAAATGTTATGCTTAACAAAATGCTCCAAGAGGATGTAAAAAATAAATGAATGTCTTACAATTAACTTAATCAACACAGCAGGTCTCGGTTTTGGATGACTGTGAAACTTTCAGCAGTAAAAGATGAGTGAGTTTTGCCCTTCCATAAACATGCAGCTGTTGTTGAAACCGATGGAAACACTGTAAATATATATATATACACACACATATATGTATGTGTCTGCGTCAGAGGGCAGAATCTGACTTGGATCTTACAAAATGGGACTTTGCAGCTGACACTCGTGTTTGTTTTTCTTCAAACAGATCGAACTCTCACATGTCTCACATTGTCCAGATCCTGCAACCGCAACTCACATCAAACATCAGCATATAAAAGGTCATCACTGTACAATCACTTTTTGAAAAGTCAGTGTCAAAACCATAAAAAAAACCCAGCTAATTTAAGAAAACCAGACGCACTGTTTAAGTGCTGAGGTTTGTGTTAGCTTTTTTCTGCTTCAAGTACAAGAATCCATTAAAACATTAAAGGCAGAAGTGGCTCCAAAAATGACAAACACTCTAACAACACACTTGTAGCTTTACTAACACTTGTTAGACGCTGTAGTTAATTGAAAAACAATGTGAACACAACGAGGTACATACAGACACCCACTGCCATTCCTGTGCCCTGCACACACTGCTGGCTGTGGAGCTCCCCGGGCTGCACAGCGCTGGGCAGCACCACCATGTGCAGGAGGGGGCCCTGGGACTGCCAGGCACCCGACACACTGGAAGTGCTTCAGGCCTCACAATGACACAAATCCACATTTTGTTTCTTTAGACTTGGAAAGGTGAGATCGCTTCTGAGGTTTTCTATAAATATTCCTTTAAAACTATCAGAGATTTGATATCTCAAGGTGAATCTAATAAAACATCAGACTGCTTTTACATTGGGCAAATGGTGTTCGCTCTGCTTTATGTAAAAAAGCAATCATATCCCTTTGTTGTAAGATACTTTATACATCTCCAGTCACTCTTTCCTTTATTTCAGAGGAAGTAAGAGAAAGCTATGACAATTTTGTTGATGCTGGGCTTCTGAAACAGCTCTATGTGGCGATGTTGAATCTGAAGTTCATCCCTTTCCACCAGTCTTTCCTCCAGTTTGTTTTATTCTGCTTCCTCACTCTTCTCAGAGCCACCTCCCACTGAGTTATCCACCTCGTATTTTTTGTCAAGAGCTTCTTCAGAAGACTTCCCACTGCAGTCGTAGGCTTTACTCGTGGATCCCGTATGCGTTCGGATGCGAGCCCCTGGCTGGTACAGCTGCATGGCTGGGCGATCCTAGGGGGGAGCAGATGAGGTTAACTCTCTGAGAAACCTGTGTGGGATACACAGGTGGGGTTTTAAAGAGATTAGTTTTTGTGAAGAAAGCAGATTTTGTGTTAAATTACTTCATGTATTGTAAGAGCTGGGGAAAAATGAAGTGTAATGAAAATCAACTGAGTATTTAATATCTGTCTTGCTTACAACACTATTCTTGAAAGCCAAGCACTTTGAATAAGTGAAGAAAGCTGTAAAAAGGAAAGATCTTATGACACATTTGACATAAACAAGGAGAAATACTGCTGGCTGTTATCAAACACAGTACTACTATGCATGCCTAGGTAAAACTTTGAAATATATTGCTACTTTCACCAGCAGCAATCAGAAACGACAGCCTGCACACTTGCAACTTGGCAGATGAGTGACAAATACTAACTATAAGCACAATGAAATGAGAACTTCAAGTTCTCAGTAGGCCCATTAGCAGATAACAGCTAGAAAATTATCCTCATCTGAATGTGTTCAGTGCTGCTGACTCAGTCACATGTGTGACCCAACAACACACTGATTTGACCACTGGGAAATGGGAGAAAAAGAGGAAAAGAGACCTTGAGCCTGCAAACAGGGAAGTTCCACAGCTCTTGCGAGTGCTTTTTATCCTTGAAATTTCAAGAATAAAATGTATTACAGAAACGCTGCTTAAGAAGTCTTTTCCTAGTAAACTGTTTATTTTACCCACGCAAATACCAGTTTTTAATGTTATAGAGCAACCCATTCACCACAACCACAGCTTTTTGGTCAAATTCTTGCATTAAGCTTTGCAAACAAAATAAGCAGCCTATTTTAAAACAGCCCTTTTTTTTTTTTTTTCCCACAAACTGACCCACACGGCTTGCACAGTGAGTCCACCCGGGCCAGCTTTGTATGTGATCCATATGGACTCATGCCACACGTGACCAGCTCACTCCTTGGCAGCTCTCGCCCCAACCCGTATCAGGAATTTGGTTTGAAAGAAGAGATTCACATGCTGAATAAATTTCTACACAAAATAATGTTTCAGTCATCTTGTGCAGAAAATCTAGGACCAGAACAGATAGAGAATGAGGTTGACAAGGATAACCACCTCCTGAAAAGACTCTGGCACATCCATGAAATCAGAGCCTGAGAAAAACGATGCCCGTGTCCCTGGGAGATGAGGAGGGACAGCTCTGCTACACACCCTGCTACCAGCCCCATTTGCACTGGTTTTGCACCTGTTCTTTCCCTGACATTGAACACAAATCCTAAGCAAACAACATCCTTCTCCAACTGACAGGTATACAATATCGAAGAAATGGCACATTCCTCTAAATACCTTCTACATACCTAAATACTTTCTGAATTAGCTATTTAGATATGTCACTACTCACGTTATGTCCTTAGTGATGTCCTGGCCAATTGTAAGGGCTTTATGGGCAGGGTAATGGAAACACAAAGATGAGCATGCCAGAGTTGTTGAGTTTCATTGCAAACTAGAAGTGTAACAATTTTTGATAGGCTCATAAAATACAAGGCTTCCAAGAATAGCGTTCTAAAAATGCTAGGATTGAAAGTAAGACAGAAGGTATTGTTGAATATGGTACATACAAATCAGCAGAGACCTGTGACCGTAACTTATTTTAACTGCTGTTGTTCTTTGACGGCAATAAAAAGAAGTTGGGGTTTTACTGAAAATGAAATAAAGAATTGTTCCGTCTTTTTTTTTTTAAAAAAAAGCATCTTTATGCTAAGTTTGCAAAAGAAAAACCTGTGATCTTGAAGCATATTTAACTAATGAAAGATTATCCTAAATGAATAAAAGAACCTTATTTCTTATGCGCTCCTTTTTGGATGCCATGTCATCACACTTGTCCTCTTTACCCAGTTTGTCTACTGCCTCCACAGTGAAGCTGTAGTTGTGGTTCCCTTTCTTTCCTCTGTCTTGGTTGTATCCTTTCCCCCATTTCAGCTCTTCTTCAGTCCTTCTCACAAACTTGTCAAACTCATAGTGAGTTCTATGCTTTCTGCCATCATCCAGTCGATACCTTTGCCTTTCAGGTTCTTTTTCTCGAAATCTTCTCTCCAAATCTCTTTGCTCTTTGTCACTATCATTTTGTGACCTATAAGAGTGTAGAAAAAGAAAGGAAATCCAAGCAATAAACAGCTTTAAAAAAAAAAGCTATTGACATATGGAATACAAAGCTTCATTTTGTCTTCAACAGTCTTTAGGTCAGTTATGTATGAAGACTTTTTCCTTTAATAAAGAAGAGTTACGTGCAATTTTGCTGAATGTCTCACTTATGTATATCCAGCTCTCCATGATGCATTAAGTTCAGAAAGTAGCAGATAAAACTTTGCAAGCAAAATCTGGTTTTTGTGCACCTGCTGTGGGAGGCCTCTGCTCCAACCTTTATCCCCCTCTGCAATCCCTTGCGTGGTTCCCCAGTGCTCCTCACATAACCCTGTGCTGCATCACCAGGTCTTGCGGCCGCTCTTGAGAAGAGCTGTACCTATGGACGAGAGTGCTGCCTTGAAAGGAAGCATTCAGGGCCCAAAGGAACTGTGCACATCCTGCACAACCATTTATCAGCAAAAATTATTCACTGACAAACACTGGATTTTTGGGGAGGTATTTGTGAAAACGAATGCTTGCATTCCCAGCATTTATTTTGTCTCCAAACACTTTTGCCTACCTTAATATTTCTTTTTGTTGGGCATCATTACCTTATCACAACGTAATACTTAAATTTATGCTCTGCTGCAATGGGTTTATATTATAAAGACTCTTAGTTTGCAATATTTTGCTGCCTGTCTGATACAACTCTCAGCTCTCCCATTCACTTCATTGTTCCAGTTCAGCAAGCATGCACTTCTCTCATAAAACAAAACTGTAAATAATGAAGGAAGATTACAGAACAGATTAAATTTTAAAAGCAGCAAATATGGGTAGTTTCTTTTTGTATGTTTCATACATTTGAATGCTTAAAATTGAAGGTCCTAGCAAGGCTCTGCAGCGTGTCGTGTCCAAAGACAGGGGGCACACCCAGATTCGCTGCTGCAGTGCTTCCCAGTGCCCTGCTACCTCCTCCTGCAAGTGATGGAGGAACACTTGTGCCCAGTGAGAGGGAGACAGACCCCAGCTGCAGTGTGACCGGAGCAGCTTTCTACAGTTTAGTCACAGGGAAGAGGAGTGGAAACAATGGGATAAGCAATAACTTGATTACAAAGTAAATGTAGAAAGCTATAGCTAGCAAGCCATAAATCAGCCCCTCATGTAGAGTTCCAAGTTCTGGTTTATTTCTGTGTCAATAACACAGTATCTATTAACCCTAATAATCAATAGTCATGATGAAGCAAGCACTTGGAAAGACAAGGTAACTTACTGTACATGCACAGCCAAAAGGATTCTCTTTTACACTTGGAAAAGCTATACTGATGCCTCGTTAAATTTACAGGATCAATACTGAAAATGCTATATGGCAGAACATAAAGCTTAGTCCATAAAAAGCCTTACTAGCAAAAAATTGACTTGCCCCTACAAGCATTTTTGGGCACTTTTCCTGTCCTGTTTTTCCTTTGCTGAAGAACATCAACTCAAGATTTCCTGAATATTTTCATTTTCCACCAGAGAATGGAAGTTCTCAGCACCTTTCAGGACCTTTCAGAACACGGCATGCTGAAACTTTGAGCCCATGTTTCAGGTCCCTGGTCACAGATAAAAGAGATGAACAATATATGTAAAATATCACGGGTGAATCGAGTGTTTTACTTAGCAAATTTGTTGGGTTTGTTTTCCATTGTTTACAGTTCTTTTCTGTTTGCTTTTATGAGAACATTTCCAGCTCCTGTATGCTCTTCACAAAACTCAATAAGCTATGAGGAGAATGGTCACATTTAAAGTACTCAGCCTCCTACAGCAACGTCCTGATCTTTCTCTGACACATCACATATACAACCTTAGGTAAGCTATTTAAATGCTGTGTTCACCCATATGTACAAGTTACACACACACATGACATCTCAGACGCAGCTCTTTCATTTTGCAAAGTACTTTTTTTGAGAGCTCAGTGGAGAACACAATTGGAAAAGTCTTATTTATCTTAGCAACATTACTCTTACATTACAGCTCTCTTGGGTGAATCCTGCTCACAGTGGGACACAAACACCAAAGAATAGAAGAGAGAATCAGCTGCTGAAACTTCCAACACACTTTGAGTATACAGTAGCTACAGAAGCGAGCTATACCTCGTTCCCACTATTGCGTATGCTACACAAAAGGCAGTGAGAGACAGAGACAACCTTCTGCAACTACTACCTCCACTATTTTGCCAGTGTCCCAAATCAAACACAGTCATCTGCTTTTTGCAGCGAAAATAAAGAAGGTGTGATGAAAAGAGAAGACTGGAGGCAGTTTAGACTTTGACATCGGTAATGGAAACGGGGCTTTACCCAAGCTCTTGATATGGAACGGGTGAAATAAGAATGAAACTCTCAATTACTTTTCATGCAGAAATCCTTCCAATCTGGGAGTTGAAAGCATTTCACAAATAACAAACTGCATCCACTATTACTACCATCAGGTCACTAAGTTGTTACTAAACACCTTTTACAAAAAGGACAGTGAGAGATTCACACACATGCAAAATGAAATCAGCTCCCTTCTGACGAACACCCAACCAAGCTCTCACATCCTGGCTAAGCCTTCAAATCAAAGATTTTTGGAACTAATTTGGAGCCTCTAAGATAAATAATACTTACTTCTCCTTAAGCTCTTTTAATGAACCTTCCAATGACTTGGATCTTATACTCCCAGGTCCAGGAGACTTATCCCACTTGTTTTCTTCAGTGTCAGCTTCTTCATCTTTTTCTTTGTGCCTCTCACTGGCTGGCTCATCTCCTTTTTCAGGCTTCTTAAGAAGCTAAAAATATTTGTTTATGTTATGACATAAAGTTATTATCTTTATATAACGGACATTTTAACAACGTACTGAATATAACAACAACCTGTTCAGATTTAAGATATCTTATTAAATGCTGTGAATACCTTTTATAAAGTATATATTTTTAATAGTTATTTTTTGAACAGCAGTTTCCTTTTGGTAAGGAGGTGCAGTCACTAACAGGCATTCACCAGCATGCTTTGAATTTGTCAAGAATGTTGGAGAAAGCACTTACCTACTCTTCTCTCCTGAGTTTTATGTATAGTCAATGATTTCTTAGAAATCATGTAACAACAGAGCTCAACGTCATTGCCAATAAAATAAAAGCAGAACCTCTACAATACTACAAAAAGAGCAGGATTAATAGTGCACTCCTTCAAGTATTATATATAAAATGTGTGACGCTATTCAGGACTGACTGGCATGTGGAAATTGGTGCTTCGTATGAATACACCTTAACAAAAATACAGACTGAGGGAAAATGAAGGAGTTAGCAGGAAATATTGTATTACTTTGTAACTTTGGAGATTAAACCTTTCAAGAATTCTGTTAATTCCTCAACAAATAATCCACACAGGGCAGTATCTAGAGTTACAGCAGTAACCTCTATAGAAGGACCAAGTGTCTCAAGGTAGTCTTCCAACATTTCAATAACGAGTAGAATATCTCAACAAACTTTTCATTCCACCTTCTTTTTTTTTCCCCTGAAAAGTTTTTATTCTTCAATACCTAGGAGAACCTACAATGTTTCTCTCAGGTAGTATTTTTCCTTTCCTCAGGGACAGAACTAGTTTTCAAGGTCACATTCCCATAGGTGACAGATCAGAAATACTAGGGCTTTTTGGACAACAAATTTTGGGGAACATCTCTTAAAGGACAAGTCCCTTTTGTTCTGAAGTTCTAGAATGTTTGCCCTTACACACAAATATGAAAAAAGTGTAGCTGCTTCAGAAGGTGCTGTTCGTATAAATTTAGATGGAGGCAAGTGTTGTCTGAGATGAAAAGGAAGAGGAGGAAGCTACATAGCTTTGTGGTTTGACTCCCTCACAAGATCTGGAGTGAATCTGTGCATCCTTGTATTAGGCTACAGATTCTTACATCAGTTTACCTCATCAAAGACCTACCAAACTTTTCCAGCACCACCAAATTTAAATGAAGTGAATAGGGTTTTTTTTTATGTTTCTTGTCTTATACAAAGAAGGTTTTAAATGTGGAGACTTAATACCACAAAATGCATCCATCTAAGTCATTAAAAGCACATCCGTTCAGAGTGCTAAAATATAACACAGATTGAAATTATATATAATGTGGTTACTATATACAATTAGTACAGTTATATATGATCACAGAATCACAGAATCACAGAATCACAGAATCGTAGGGGTTGGAAGGGACCTCCAGAGATCATCGAGTCCAACCCCCCTGCCAAAGCAGGTTCCCTACAGCAGGTCGCACAGGTAGGCATCCAGGCAGGTCTTGAACATCTCCAGAGAAGGAGACTCCACCACCTCCCTGGGCAGCCTGTTCCAGTGCTCCGTCACCTCACTGTAAAGAAGTTCTTGTGCACATTTGTGCAGAACTTCCTATGCTGCAGTTTCTGGCCATTTCCCCTTGTCCTGTCTCCACTCACCACTGAAAACAGTCTGGCCTCGCCATTCTGCCCCCCACACCTTAGATATTTATAGACCTGGATCAGGTCCCCTCTCAGTCTTCTTTTCTCAAGGCTGAACAGACCCAGTTCATTCAGCCTTTCTTCATAGGAGAGATGCTCCAGGCCCTTCACCATATATAATAATATGATAATAATATGATAATAATGATAATATTTACACATTCTATAAAATTAATGTATAATTATAACATTATTAAAATATATCCTTACTTATAAATTATAACAAGCCTTTTTAATAACTGGGTAAAAGGATACTATTAAAATAAACCAGTTCTGAGCATAAACAAAAAACACCCTCAGCACATACGGCTAGATTTACACGACAAAGAGCTAAAAGCCATATCTGCATTAATGCTCTGATGTGTTAGCACAGAGCAATCTGGTTCTGTCAGGTTATGTCAGCACAGAATGTGGCATTGTTATATAAGGACATACAGTTGCCTGCCACTGTAACTGCATTATCACATCATTGCATCTAAGGTAATCAGTCAGACTTCTCAACAACAGTGCTCAGCCTAACCCTTGCTTTATTCCTCCTTCCAGTAAAAACGACTTTGCTATCACCACACCATACTGTAGTACACGGTATAAACAGCCTGAAACCAAAAGAACTTCTGAGTAACTTCAGCAGAGGAGGTTTGCTTTGGTTTTGTTAAGGTACCTTGATCCTTATCTCTTTGTCAGAAATTTTCTTATGTTTCTCTGCTTCTTTCCTTTTACGTCTTTCCTCTTCTCTGCGTTTCCTTTTCTCTTCTTCTCTCAGACGCTTCTTCTCCAATTCCCTCCGCCTTCGTTCCTCCCTTTTCTCCTCTCGAATTCTCTGAAGAGTTCAAAACGATTAATTGTGAATTGCCCAAAGGAAAACCACTTGAAACATAAATGTTGAACTTCAGGCAAAAATCTGAACGTACCTGCTTTTCTAATTTTCTATTTTTAATATATTCCAAAAGGGGTGTTGTTCTTCTAGCTAAAACACAAAAAATTTGTGATATAGTGTTCAACTCCTAAAATATGTACTCATTTCTTTACTTCAGTACTAATCCCTTCTTTCTAACTTTATCTGCAAGAGAGCCAAATAATATATAAAACTATTTATTTTATATGGATGGTGTTCCCATCATTCCATTTTAGAAGCACATTATTTGGGATTGTTGGTTTTTTTCTTTTGCTGATAGGGTAAGAAGCAACAGAGATAAGTTGCTTGATTATTTAACTTTTAAATTTAAAATCATATATTTTCAGAAAATGGCATTTTTCTCTTGCTCATCGAAAAAATAACCGTGTTCAGTATCTAATTCTACCACATTCCTACTACTGTATCTATTCCTCTTTTAACTTTTGTACATCAAAACCTAGTTAGATTGCTGTTCATGTACAGTCCACATATCTCACATATCACTCTTCAGTCCCAAATTTCAAAGTACATTATGAAAGAAACATTCTCATTCACATATAACATTTCCATTGGACTCCCATTTAGCATTCACCATTCCATGGAAAAACAAGAATAATAAAAGATAAATAGGATATAGGATATAGGATATAGGATATAGGATATAGGATATAGGATATAGGATA